GCCAGAGGGGGCTCAACCCTAGAGCAGCAAGAGGCAGTGCCCCTGGGGGCCCAGATGCCTTCTGTCCCTGTCAGTCGCTGGGATCCCGCAGGCCCTTGGGAAAGTCCAGGAGAGGAGGAGAAGGCGGGCCAGGTCCTCAGAAGAGAAAGAAATGTGGAGGAAGAAACGTGAAGCTGAGAGAGGAAAGTCTGGGTCATGTCTGATCTTATGACATCTGGCCAAAAATTGCCCCTCTTTACCTTTGATTCCAGGGAGCCCCGGGCTAAGGATGATGAGGTCAGCAGTTCAAACCCACCAGCTGCTCTCTGGGACAAACATGAGGCTTTCTACTCCCATAAGGATTTATAGTCTCAGAAACCCAGAGAGGCATTTCTACTCTGCTTAGAAGGTCAATAGAAGTCAGAAACTGGCAGCAATGAATTTTATCTTTGGTTTGGGAATAAATTCCCAGGCCTGTACTCTGCCCATCCTGATTGGTTTAAAGAAAGGGTTTCTCACAGGGAATCCAGGACAGATAAACCCCTCAGGACCAAATAACGAGAGTAGCGATACCGGGAGGGTAAGGGTAAGGTGGGAAGAGAAAGGGGGAATCGATCATAATGATCTACATATTACCCCCTCCCAGGGGGACGGACAACAGAAAAGTGGGTGACGGGAGACATTGGTCAGTGTAAGACATGACAAAATAATAATAATTTATAAATTATCAAGGGTTCATGAGGGAGGGAGCATAGGGGAGGGAGGGGAAAAATGAGGAGCTGATGATACCAAGGGCTCAAGTAGAAAGAAAATGTATTGAAAATGATGATGGCAACACATGTACAAATATGCTTGACACAATGGAAGGATGGATGGATGATGATGAGCACTGTACGAGCCCCCAGTAAAATGATTTTAGAAAAAGAAAAACACAGACACAGACACACACACACACAAAGAATGGGTTTCTGGCAAGAGATGGTGTCAGTTTGCCCCAGATTTTTAAGATGTGTGACCCAGGCTAAGTCACTACCCTTCTTCCTCACCTGTAACCTGGGGTGCTGGTATTGTGGAGTCTGTCTCCTGGGGGTGTTGGGAGGATGACATGAAATGATTTGTTGCCGGGGCAGTGGAGGTGTTTTAGGAGCTGTACAAGGGTCAGTCTTGACAAGAGGCCCCATTCATCCCTTTCTCTACTCCACACAGCTGAGAGATGAGCAGTCCAGTCCCAACTCAAAAAAGTCCTCACTGCCATTAAGTCACTTGGACTCAACCACCTACAAGACAAAGAACTGACCCCTGTGGCTTCCTTTAAAAAAAAAAGAACTCATTACCATGGAGTTGATGTCAACTCACAGTGACCCTATAGAACAGGGTATAACTGTCCCTGTGAGTTTCCGACACTACAAAACTCTTTATGGGAGTAGGAATCCCCATACTACTCGCTTGGAATGGCTGGTGGTTTTGAACTATTGATGTTGCAATTAGCACCCCAATTTGTAACCATTATGCCTATACACTTTTACTGGAGCAGAAAGTCTCATCGTTCTCTTTTGGAATGGCAAGTAGGTTGGGTGGCTGATTTTTCGGTTAGCTGTCCAGTGTGTAAGCTACTTTGTCACCAGTCCCAGTAACCAGAAAATAAGGGCAGGCCTTGTATTCTGTTGGAGGGGAGAATGTAGAGTATACAGACGCATCCTCTTTATCCTGAATACTGATAACTAGTGAACGATCAGCCTCGATAG